CTCTCTCTCTCTCTCTCTCTCTCTCTCTCTCTCTCTCTCTCTCTCTCTCTCACACACACACACACACACACACACACACACACACACACACAAAATCAGTGTTATGTCTGTTTTTTCCTCTTGTTGTCTGTTCTCCCTCTGATTTTTTCGAAGTACTTTTACATACCCAACTGAGCAGCGCCACCCTTAAGTAGTGCCAAACAGTCGGTGGTTCCTCTTTTGGAGTGCCAACTGCATGCTCAGGGGGGGCACTCGGTTCGGGATGTCTGTGTTGCCTGTAGGTGATGACGGATGCTTGTCGGTGTGTCTCCCTGGCTCAGTGGGTGGTGAGAACCAACAGTCTGCGGTGTTCAATTGTGATGTGAGTAGGTCATAGGCTGCTTTGCTCCGTGTTGGATGTGTGGACGACCTTGCCTCAACTCTGCCGCTGCCCTGCTGCCTGTCCCGCTTGCTTCACATGTGATTCTTTGCAGGTCGATGAGTTCGCTGTGTGGTGTGGCCGTGCAGCTGGTGTTGCCTTGCTGCCCTTCTGCTGGTTATGCCTTCCGTGTTTGCTGCTTGTGGGCCTTGTTGGATGGTTGCCTTGTTGCTGATGCCTTGTGCTTTGCTCCACGGTTGCCGAGCTGCTGGTCCGCTCGCCCTGTCATCCGGTGCAGTGTGGTTGCCTTGTTTGTGTTGTCTTGTGCGTCACTACACGGTTGCAGCGCTGCTTCTCCTCTGTGCCATGCGCTCCTTGCAGTCGTTTTTGGCATTGTGCAGCCGTGTTGCCTCTACCGTGTTGCCTGGTGCTCCACAGGGTTGCTGCCCGCTGCTATGTTCTGCTTGGAGACAGTCTACCTTTAACACGGGTCAAAGGGTTCATGACCCAAACCATCAAATACGGAGATTCCGCGGATTGTCGAGGGTTCAGCCTCCAGATGAGACGGTGCAACTCCGAAGAAACTATCTTGTCATCATCAGTTTTTTATTTTATTTTTTATGTTTTAGTCTTTTCGGTCTTTTCTGTTTTTTTTGCTTTGCCTGCTTGAGTGATGTCTGCCCTCCTGCCTCCCCCGTGCCCTCCAACCATTGACTTTTGCTGTTGCCTGTTGTCTTATGCTTGGGGTATCTTTCTGCACTCGCACTTTGCTTTTGTCTTTCCTTGTTTTGTGCATTTATGTATGGTCTGCCCTCCCACCCCCCCCTTGCCCCCCAGTCCTTGTGCCTTTCTGCAGTGTGTTGTCGTTGCCTCCTTGCCTTCTGCCTTATCGTGCTTCTTTTCCCCGTCTTGTGGTGTCTGTTTGATAGTGTGTGTTCCAGTTGGCATCCCCGCAAAGTGGAGTGGGAGCAT